GTGGGTACAAGTAAGGTATGTTTCAGTAAACATTAATAAATAGGAAATAATAAAAAGGTCAATTGCATATAACTCCTATCCCTAAATTTCATTATTATACAACTTGTTGCCTTGATCAGTTAACAATAATAAAATCAAATTATTTGCTCAAACTGACTATATTAATACTATAACTGTACAGAAATTCAGGGAATTCAAAATATAATATTTTGTCTGCTACTTTCCACAATCTCATGTTTTAGAATAAACCTTTAATCACTAGAGTATTCACTAGAGTTCCATTTTTCTAGAATGAGAAGGAAAGTGTGATACTCACTGTCCCAATCAGGATGTAATATTTGCAGCTTCTGAAGCAAAGATATATAAAGTTTATTTCATTTTATCGTAAAAGTAATCACTCTTCCTCTAGCTAACACCTCTCAGCTTAACTTACAATAAAAGCACAAATTGTCTATATAAATCAAATTTGAAACACAATAAAACTATCAACAATTATCATTTAAAACACCAATCAATTATAAGCAGCAGAGGCTAAAGCAAGCATCAGAAAAAATAAAATATATTGGAAATAAAAAAGATATTTGTGCCCATGCTTTCAATCCTGGCTTTGTCTCTTCCTGTCTTGATATATTGCAATTAACTCAGAAAGTCTTCACATAACCATGGGTTTTGATTATGTTTGTACCTGGAAACTATAGCTAGGTTCAGAGCAAGACAGATTCTGAAACGACAGTTTGCAACTGTTTTTACATTTCTGGCTTGTTCTGAACCTTGTTTTCTGGATGCAATGCAAAACTGTGGTTATAGTTTACAGAAAACTTCTTGGGTAACTGGCAAGTCAAGAAGGACAGTATGAGGAAAGAGAGAAGATTGTGCATATCTTATACCAAAATGTACATGTCAAATCTATATTAGTATCTGAGCAGAGGTCTTTCCAAGTGCTATGTGTATGTCTTCGCCTGGCAGTTGGCTTTAGTATTGTCTTTCGGGATTTCACTGTATTAGTAATAATAACCAAAGCAATACCAAAGAAAGAATCAAGTAATTTTTATAATTGGTTAAATTGCATAAGGCACACCAGGAAAAGCCAAGGCTGATGACCTGATTAATCTTTTTTGGTATTTTTCACAGATCGGAAAAAAGGTGATTTAGACATTCATTATTTTAATGTACAAGATTTCAGAATGCTCTGCAAAACTGATATTAAAGAAAGTTTCTTGTTGAACAAATCTTACTTGGTACTAATCTAAATGGACTATCCTCGTTAGACTGAACACATCCACTCCCAGCTCTCTATGAAACAATGGGATTCTGAATACCTTGTCATTAGCAGTGAATGTTGCTGGTCTTTCCACCAAGTCAAGCAGCAACCACTGCTGTTTTCTAACTAGTTTTTTAACTGGCTCCTGCACTTTCAGATCCAAGAACCTATGCAGTCATATACTGGCTAAAAATTACAGATAGGACTCGTTCTTAACTGTTGAGTTCTGTCCCATTTGCACTCTAAAGACTCTAACAGTTTTGGTAGCTATTATTAAACACAACTCTGTTTACATTTCAATTGCTTCGAATGGAGGGCGCCCATAATACCAATTATGCATTGAGATTTTTTTTTGTATCATATATTATTATTATTAGAGAATATTAGGAAGAAGGTTTTATAAGTTACATTAGAATCACTTATAATCATCTATACATCTATTTACCATTTAGCAAAATGATTTAGATGCCTTACCTAAAAAATTAATTCACAGTAAACTGCAATCAATCTGATGATATGAAAAACAGTGGGAGACATTAGCCCCAGTGAAGTTTACACCATAACTTTTTCTATTTCATTCATTAAAAAATTATGGTTTATAGCAGCTCATTTAAGCTATAAAAGGTTAAGTGATTTTCAATTTATGTTTTGGGTTTCAATTTATGCACATCTATCCACACACACATGGTAAAATTGTTCTCAGCTGAAATATAAAGGAATGGTAATTTATTTCAAATATTTTAAGGCTTTTCAGAATACACTGTGGTCTTCCAGTTTTCAGTGCACAATTTTAGTGGCTCACAATGACTGAAACGCATAATAAAATGGACAATTCACTAAAATCCAGAATCTTAACATGTAAACTAGTGGCAAGGGAGGAGGTAAGGACAAAATAAATCTGTGACCCTGTTATCATAATCGTAATATGACTTACAAAATAGATTCCATAAGCATACAAAAGTAGCTATTTATACAAGACAATACTATACATTTCACATATTAGATGGAAGAATAAATGAAAAATGGGAGAACGCTATAGCATATTGAGGAAATTGAATTTAAAGGGCATATTTCCAGGAATGCACATAAGATAACAGATGAAAATATCTACACAACAGTACTGGGATACCTACAGGAACAAACCTATTACCATGGAAATGATTACAAAGAAGAGCTGCTGAAAGGGAAAACTATCAGGAAAAAAATAAAGAAAACAAAAAGAGAACATGAAAGAATGCTGGAATCAGAGTAATTTTCTTTGGCTTTTCAATTAGTGTTTCTCAGAGTGTGTTTGTAATAGGAAAACATTTCCAAATTTCAATAAAATAAGGTGAAAGGTTAACGAGTAAAAAGGTAAGGAAAAAAAAACAAACAAACCGTGCTATCTTATTAGAATAAGATAGCCTTTATTATGGAGCCAAAGGAGATACTGAAAATTATGCAAAATGAAAAAGAGTGATAGATAGAAATATGCACCATAAACTTAGTGATCTGCATTTTTCTGTATTAAAAAGAAAAGGAGGGAGGGAGGTGGGAAGGAGAGAAAGAAAACACAGTATATAGGCACTTGTTTCTTACATTGTAAGATCCTGCCTATTATATGTGAAAGGGACAGGCTTAAGACAAAACCCACTAGGAATTTCTCCAGTGTAATCCCCCTGGAAAAAGGAGCTGCTTAAGACTGCATAACCCTGTTATTTTCAAAGAGAGATGCCCAAGAGAGTAGAGGAATAGGCTGCATGCTCATCCTTATGTAAGTATTTCTCTACACTCAACACCAAGTTCCTGACTAAAAACCCCATGAGACCCATGTGTGTGCTTACAAGCCAGCTGGAGCTAATACTCTACCTGAGTCAGCCCTTAATACAGCAATACATTCCATTTAAGAGTGTGACCATAAACATACAATTAACTTCCTCTGCCCTGGCTTCCACTAACTGCAAGCACCATTTATAGTTAAGAAGCATCAAGCATAAAAATAAATAAATCACCAAAGCATGTGGAATAAATATGCCTTTAAATGATAGGCGCATACATTGCCACTTAAAGCTCTGCATTAATTGGAAAATTTGAAATAGCTTGAAGTCTTACTAAGACCCCAAGTCAATACTGCATAACACACAGCATTACTGAAACACTGCTGAAAGAGATCAGGAATGTGAAACTTCTATTGTATTAAAACATGAAAAACAGCAGATTTTTCACTTGGGCTCAAGGACATTTAGCATGCTTTCCTTCTGTCCTTCTGCTTGAGCGGTTGTAAAGCTCAAACGACTCGCCTTTCAAAACCTGTCGTTATGAAGACTCTCCCAGTGTCCACATCAGAGTGTGTCATTATCTTCTTAAGAAAATCAGAAGTTCTGTTGCCTTCTTTTTTTTGCATCCATAGCATCCAAAATTGGTTGTCTTTTAGCAGTATATCTTTGACGGAGCTCTTCAATTTCACGCTCCATCATTGGATCTAAAGCTTTTAATCTCATCTGCAGCTCTTCCAAACTTAGGTTTTTTAGCTGTTTGGGTGAGAATAAAAACATATTTCATTAATAAAAATTTTTTCACTCATAGTAGAAGGTACACATGAATGCATACAATCTACTTATTTCATAGTCTCTTATACAAAATGAGATATCAAACAGTGAATTAATTTCATCCAATATACTGTGCAGGAAATATTTATTATCAACCAGCAGATTACATTTAATTAAGTTTGTATTTAGCTGCAGGACAATTTTCAAAATGATGAGACACAAATTATGAGAGGGTATGCTGTTCTGAATCACTTATTTTTAAAAAATTATTATGTATATATGTATGTATGACAATATATTGATAACAACAACTCTCAAATGGCCATCACCGACAAAATGACAATTGGAGCACTGTTATACATGGACTGCTTAGAGCCGTGATGGTGAACCTGTGGCATGCAGAGCCATTTGTGTGGGCACGCGAGCCCCAGCCAAACTTACCTGCACTGCACATGCGTGCGCCTCCCACCTGATTTTCGGCCCGTTTGAGGCTGTTTTCGCCCTCCCAGAGACTTGAGGGAAGCCTCTGAAGCCTCAGGAGGCCGAGCCTCCAGGAGGGCGAAAACAGCCTCCCCTGGGCTCCGGAGGCCCTCCGGAGGCTGAAAACAGGCACTTCCAGTATTTCCGGAAGACCCCTCCTGAGGCTGCAGAGGCTTTCCTCGAGCCTCCAGGAGGGCGAAAATGTCTTCAAATGGGCCAAAAATCAGCTGGGAGGCACACGCATATGCAGTGCAGGTAAGGGGGCGGGGTATTGCATGCGCAGGGCGCATTGCATTGTGGGTGCTGGCATGTGCGTGTGCTATTACACGTGTGCACACTTTCAGCACACCACAACAAAAAGGTTCACCATCACTGGCCTAGAGAGCACCTCTTCCTCACAGTAGCTAGGAGTATTGGGAAATTTGGTATAAGATTAAACAATCGTTACTGATATTTTACTGTTGATCTTGCTTTATTTCAGGAAGTTAATAATAATTGATGTTGGTAGTGAGAAGATTGACTCAGAATGAGGAATGGGAAAGAAAAAGCTTATTCAAAGCTCCACTTCACTTCATGTATAAAAAAAGGCAAAAACTGTGATGTGATGTAGTGAAAAACTGTTATTATCTCCCACCTTCTTCTTAATTTATTTTCTCATATGCCTACTTGTAGTATCTTGCAAACTCATGAGTGTACAGAAGTGGTTATTCTAACAAGGTCGCAAAGCTTTTTTTAAAAAATGTAGATACTTCACTGGATCATACCCACGCTTATTTCAAGGCAAATTAATTTAGGAAAATAAAATCCACCTGAAAAACGGTCCAAATTAATTAAAAGAAGGCTGTCTCTCTCTATCAGAATATTACATTAGCAATTTTCAAAGTACTCTTAACATCCTTGGGAATTTTACAAGAATAAGTAATAAGGGAGAGATGGGAGGAGCTTGCGCCGTGGCGATACGGTCTGCAATCGAGCTCCTCGATTGCAGCCGATATCTCCGCCACTGGCCGGTCCAACGGACCTACGCTGTCCCGTAGGGACAGCCATCGTGAAGAGCATATCCTGAGGATTCCGGGGATACCGCAAAATCCCTGGAGAGCCCGGGTGAAGCTCTTCTTGCCAGCGGCGGAGAGGCAGCCCCCATGCTGCTGAGGCCGGGGCGACTCCAGACGGAAAGAGTTTGAGAAAGAGTTTGTCGGTTGGGTGAGAACTTCTTTTTTTTATTTAATTTTTTGAATTTGGAAAGTTTACTCTAATTATCTGAAGAAACCTGTGTGATTTTTGTTTTGTTTTTTGACAAAATTGATTTAGCGGCGTATTTTTAGGGAAACGTCAAAGAGAGAATCCATTTTTTTTCTTTTCTTTGCTTCCGGACTCTATTGTTACTTATTGGATAACTGGACTGTTTTCTTTTTTCTATATATTCATATGTTTTATTCTTCTTCTGGACTTTTTATTTTTTTTTTTTTTTCTGGGCTAGAGGCTTCTCTTGATTTTGTTTGATTTTTCGGTTTTTGTTTTGTGTATTGCAAGCCGGCTTTCCCTTAAGAGAGGAGGGGGGAAAGTGAGAATTATGATACTTTGTAACACTGCCACCTAGAGGCTCGGAAATATTTAAAAAAAAGAAAAATAGACTCTTCTTCTCAAGGACATCCCCTGATAAGATAGAGGAAAGCACTTTGTGGAATATTATTACAGGTGTCTTTCTGGATATACATGGCTCAGCTTTGAAGCTTGTGGGAAAGAGAAGGGAGTTATAATTAGAGCCTTGGATAATTAAATAGAGTGCAGTGTTGTTGTTTTTTTTGAGTTCTGCCAACCCCTTCACTAACATCAAGGTCCTGACTTTTAAGCTTGATTTATTTGCAAAGGGAAGCCTCTGAATTTCTTTTTTCTACTTATATTTTATTTTGATTTAACTGATTTTATTTCTTCTTTTGCCTATTTGGATCCTGTTTTCTCTTTTTTCCTTTTTTTTTTTTTAATGTACATTAGCGGACTATTTCTTTTTCCTTTTTTTAATTGAGGTTTTTTCTTTTTTCTTTTTTTTTTTTTTTTTCTGGCTGGACTAAGGTGTGGAATCTGAAGAAACTTATTTTTCTTGGTTTTTGTTTTGTTTTTTGTTTTTTCTCTTTTTCTTCTTCCCTTCTTCCTTTTTGGCTTTGTCTTGTTTATTATTATTATTGGGTTTTTATTTTTACTGTTACTTTTTTTTATGGTTTTTTTTTTCTTTTTTTATTGGACTAAGGTCAGGAAGAATTTGAAGAATTTTTTTTTTCTTTTTTTCTTTTTTTCTCTCACTTTTGGCTTTTTTATTGTTGGCCTTTTTACCTTGGATTAAAATTTCATATTTTTTTCTCTTTTTTTTGTGGATTAAAATTTGAAAAAACTTGAAGAGTTGGAACCACTTAAAATGAGTAAGAAATTTATATCTTCGGGTGCCTCTATGTCTGCTTCTGCCTCCCCACCATCTGGACAGCGTTCAATTCAGACATTGTTAAAGCAAGATAAAGAGAAAGAAAAAGAACAAGAAAGAGTATCCTTCCAGATGATTATGCAAGGAATTCAAGATCTTAAGGTAAAAATGGATACTATTGAACAAAGAACAGGTAGGATGGAACAGATGATGGAAAAATATGAAGAGAGACTCCAAAATGTTGAAGAGGGAGGCAAACAAAGAGAGGAGAAAATTGGAAATATCGACAATAGATTAACAGCGATTGAACAAGAAAAAAGTGAGATGTTGAAGTGGGAGTTGGATAGATCAGAATTTTATCTTAGATTCCAAAATATAGAAGAAGAAAAAGGACAAGATTTGGTTGCGATAATGGTAGGAATCTTGGCGGAGGCGCTCGAGATAACAGAAGAGAAGATGATGGATGGAATTGATGAGATATATCGAGTTTTTACAAGATATGCGATGAGAAATAACCTACCCAGAGAAGTTCATATTAGATTTATTAAAAAATCTTTGAAGACACAAATATTGCAAGTAGCAAGAGAGAAGCCACTGAAATACAAAAGTAAAGAAATTTTGGTTTTAAAACAAATACCTAGAAGAGTGAGAGAGATGAGAAGAGAATACCGATTCCTGACTAAAAGGTTATTGGAAAAAGAGGTGTCTTACAGGTGGTTGATTCCAGAAGGATTGATGTTTACGTGGCAGGAACAGAGACATAGAATTGATTCAATTGAGAAAGCAGAACTGTTTTGCGCAGAGGTTTTTGGAGGCAGAGAAGGAGGAGCAGGAAAGGAGGTCCCATCAATTGAATCTCAAGAGGAACAAATGGAGGTTGGAAAAGAAGAAGGTGCAGTAGGTGGACAAGTGGATATTAAAGATCAACGTGAGGCAAGACCCACGAGAGTGGTTAAATCTAAATATAAAACATAATTATGGAAGAAAAAAAATTGATTACAATGAATATAAATGGACTGAACTCAGCTGCTAAGAGAAGGAAGATTTTCCATAAATTAATGAAATTAAGGTTCGACATAATTTGTTTACAAGAAGTTCATATTAAAAAGCAACATGAACAATTGTTATTACAACCAAAATTAGGGAAATTGTTTACCTCTTTGACACAATTTAAGAAAAGAGGGGTGGTTTTATATATTAAAGAGGCCATTCCAGCAAAAATGATTTATACAGATGATGATGGGAGAATATTAATGGTAGAAATAATGGACAATAATAGAAAGATACTTTTGATTGCAATTTATGCACCGAATGATAAACAGGAAGAATTCTATAGAAAATTACATACTAAGACTGCCGAACTTGACTATGCTAATGTAATTATGATGGGAGACTTTAATGGAATTGTGGATAATAGACTTGACTATATTGCAACAACAGTAAAGCATAACAGGAAAACTCTTCCTAAATCCTTTTTTAAAATGATAGATGAATTAACTTTAAAAGACATATGGAGAGAAAGAAATGATAAATCTAAGCAATTTACGTTCTATTCAAATAGGCATCTATCATGGTCCAGACTGGATATGATTTGGATCTCAACAGATTTAATGTCTAGTATTCAAGAAGTAAATATTGAAACAAGTACTTGGGCTGACTATAACCCATTGACAATTGAATGGAAGGGACAAAGGAAAAGATCGAGATGGACATTAAATAATTCTATTTTAAAGGATAAGGAATTTATACAATGGATGGAGAAAGAATTGGCCTTCTTCTTTAAAGAGAACAGAAAAGAAGACACCTCAATACAGAATGTTTGGGACACAATGAAGGCCTATGTTAGAGGCTTGATAATAGACTATACAAGAAAAAAGAACAACAGGAAAAGGCGAACTCTTAAAGCCTTGGATGATGAATATAAGGGACTTGAAAAAGAATTACAGAAAATGCCACACAGAAAAGATGTTAAAATGAAACTGGATATAACTAAACATAAAATGGATTTAATAGAGAAAGAAGAACTGGCACAGAAAATTAGGAATGCTAAACAGAATTATTTTGAGGATGCAAATAAGCCAGGTAGATGGCTAGCATACAAATTGAGAAAGGAGAAAGAGTCGAGGAAAATACCGCAGTTAATAGACGACCAAGGTAAAATTTGTTATAGCAGCAAAGAAAAAAAAGAGATTATTTATGATTTTTATAAGCATTTGTATAAGAAAGAAGACATTGATGAGGAGAAAGTTAAACAATACCTACAGAATGCAAATCTACCTAAGATACCTAAAGAGATTGAAGAAATGCTAGAAAGTAATATAACAATGATGGAGTTAAGTCAAGCACTTAAGAAACAAAATAATGGAAAGGCACCAGGTCCAGACGGGTTTCCTGTAGAATTTTATAAAATCTTTCAAGAATTACTGTGTATTCCACTGTTAGAAGTTATGAATGAAGTTATGTTAAAAAAGATGATACCTAAAACATGGTCAGAGGCTTATATTACACTTATTCCAAAAGAGGAGGCGGACCTACTGCAAATCAAGAATTATAGACCGATTTCTTTACTAAATGCAGATTATAAAATTTTTGCTTCAATATTAGCAGAAAGACTTAAAAAGTACTTGAATAACTTTATCCACCCAGACCAAAATGGGTTTTTGCCAAAGCGACAAATCAGAGACAATATGAGAGTAATTCTGGACACCCTGGAATACTATGAGGCACATCCTGAAAAGCAAATGGCTTTGATATTTTTAGATGCTCAAAAGGCATTTGATAACGTGAATTGGAGATTTATGTTACTTTTAATGGAACAGATGGGCTTTGCTAGAAGATTTATTCAGGCAATAGAAGCAATTTATAATGAACAAACAGCTAAGGTAATGATGGAGGGAGAATTTACAGATCCTATTAATATAAGAAAAGGCACAAGATAAGGTTGTCCTCTTTCTCCCTTGATATTTGTATTGACTTTGGAAGTGTTGAATAGAAATATCAGAGAAGATAAAACTATAAAAGGAATGAAAATTAAAAAGGAAGAATTTAAACTACAAGCCTTTGCAGATGACCTAGTCTTTATCTTGGAAGACCCTATAGAAACAGCCTCGAAACTGTTGGAAAAGATAGAGGTCTATGGGGAGGTGGCTGGTTTGAAAATAAATAGAGATAAAACAAAGATTTTGTCAAAGAATATGTTGCTGAAACAAAGGGAAGAGTTGGCAGAACTGTTAAAAATTCAAGTTACAAACAAGGTTAAGTATCTGGGGATATATTTGACATCAAGATGTAGTACATTGAAGGAGAATAATTATATTAAACTTAAACAACAGATAGCTCAAGACTTGAAAAAATGGGAGAACTTACAATTGTCATTAATAGGAAGGATTTCAACAATTAAGATGAACATTTTACCCAGAGTCTTATTTTTGTTTCAAACAATACCAATTAGGCTTGGAAAAGAATATTTTGAGGATTTAAATAAAATTGTTTTGAAGTATATATGGCAAGGTAAGAAAGCAAGAATAAAGTTAAAGCTTTTACAGGATGCTAGATTTAGAGGAGGGTTTGGACTGCCTAATTGGGAGTTGTACTACCAAGCTGCAAACTTGACGTGGGTTAAAGAATGGATAACATTAAGGAAAACCAGATTGTTGACATTAGAAGGTCATGATTTGTTGTTGGGCTGGCATGCTTTTTTATGGTACAAGGGAACTAAAACACAGGGGTATTTTAGAAGGCATTATATACGGGAGTCTCTGTGGTTGAATTGGGAGAAGATAAAAAAACAGTGTTATTTGAAAATTCCAGTTTGGTTATCGACGATAGAAGCGTTTTCTTATCCTATAATCTATAAAAAGGAACAAACAGTTAACTATGGGGAATTATTAGATGAAAAGGGTGAACTTAAATCGATGCAAAAATTGGAAGAACAAGGTATACAGATGAATTGGTTTTCATATTTGCAAATACATTCAAAGTACTATGAGGATTCCAAAGCAGAGGGATTTTATGATAAGCAAACTGACTTGGATAAGATTTTGATGGGTACTGATGAAAAGGTGATTAAAAAATTGTATGGTTATTTATTGCAAATTAAGCTTGAGGAAGAACAAGTTAAAGAAACTATGATTGCGTGGGGGAGGAATTTTGGATATGGGATTGATTTAGAGAAATGGCAGAAATTATGGTCGCAAAATTATAAAATGACAATGTCTACAGCCTATAAAGAAAACTTGTATAAGATGTTTTACAGGTGGCATTTTCCCCCGACAAGGATAGCAAGAATGTTTAAGAACAAATCCGAAAAATGCTGGAAATGTCATCAGAAACCTGGTTCATACTATCACATGTGGTGGACTTGTGAGGATGCTAGAAAATATTGGACTAAAATCCACATGTGGCTGGAAAAAATGACAAAGAAGCATATAGACTTGAAACCGGAGTTTTTTCTATTGGGAATACTACCAGATACTTATAGTAAAGAGTTGAAATATTTGATTGTAAATGTATTGACTGCTGCTAGGATTGTATTTGCAAAAAATTGGAAAAATGAGAAAATTCCATTGCAAGAAGAAGTTGTAAAGAAAATTTTGGAATGTGCTGAGATGAGTAGATTGACTTTTGAAATTAGAGAGCAAGAAGATAAACAATTTTATTTAGTTTGGGATCTTTTCTATCAATGGTTGAATGATGAAATATTAAAATATAAAAGTTAGATAATAAGGAATAATAATGACTTTATTTTCCCTTTCCTTTTATTGGTTTTTGATACTATATTTATATAATAGTTTTCTTTGTTTCTTTCTTTTTCATATTTGGGATAGAATTGGTATGATTATAAGATTTGTTTTAGAATAAAATATTTAAAATATAGTTATCTCATAAAGGCATGACCGAATAAAAGTTTAGTCAAATTTTTTTTTTTTCTTTAATAGAGATACTAGGATTTATAAATTTGTATTGATAAGAGTATTATATAAAGTAACTGTAATTGTGACTATGAGGTGAATGCACAAAACCGATGGACCAACCGACTTACGGTGTGTACAAAAATATGGGGGAGCTGATACTTTTATGTTTTGTTGTTGTGTTTTTTATGTTAAAAAAATAATAAAAATTTATATAAAAAAAAAAAAAAGAATAAGTAATAAGGGTTTCCTGCTACGATAATAAGACACCTGCAATGATCTGATGATACTGGAACCATGTCAATCAATATGGTGCTCTTTAGGCTAGCATTCCTTACCTGAACTTGCAGGAATAATCCAGTTTCAGAAAAGAATATTAACATAACAACAAAATTCCAAATGAGAATTCACTGCAGGAAAAACTTTCTTTAAAAATGCGACAACAGCCGATTATTTGAAATTAGAGATATTCCTAAGAATGTTTATCAATAAAGGAGAATATTTGTAGCTCAGGGTTGAAATGAGTATGTTTACCTAAATATGTTTAACCGCATTTCTCAACTGGATTTAATATATACTTTAATTTTTATTACTAAAAATTGTCACGATTTTTTTTTGTGCCTAAGAAGTGGATTGAAATAGAAAAATGAATAACTAAAAATAGAAAATATGCATAGTTATAAAATATACTTTTCCTGGAAAATCATCGACATTTCCCTTTTGTTTTCAGTATAGTGCCTTTCTTAGGCTGCAAATATCCAATCAATCATCAGATGGGAACAAAGAGATACAGAAAACTGTCTATTACTATCTGCTACTATCTAGTGGTTGTCCAGAGTTCTGTAAGCTTAGATACGCTAGCTAGAAATGCTGTGTAAAATGTGCTTGCACATTTATGTGTACAGAGAATAATGCACTAGGTAGAAAATGCAACTCACCACTGTAGTAACTGTTCCCTACAAAAAGCTGTTACATCAAAAATGAACAAGAATTCATTGAAACAACGAATAGCCGGAATAAAGAGGAAATGATTTAGCAAAACAATTAAGTAAAAGCTGAGAATAAAAATACATAAACGATTCAGTTCAGCTCAGAGAGGGAAGTTTAAAGCTATCAATTTGATTATTTCCATCATGATTACTTAGACTTAAACAGAAACTTTTATTTCCTGTTGAAGAAAACTCTGGCATGAATATGCCATTGCTTCATCAGATAAAAACGATTTCCTGGTGAAGCTATTCTGTGGTCCAAAAACATCATTTTGTCTACAAAACTGAATATTATACTTTTAAGTTGTATAGCAGAAAAAAATGTGTAATGCAAAAACATCCCACTTGTTTTTATAAAATATTGGTTGAAACACAATGACTGTACTACTGAGAACCAACCTGTATTGTATGTGAAAAGGAGGTCATGGTATATTCTAATGTGCTAGCTGCGAGAAAATGGGCAAGGTCTTTAAATAACATTATTTTTTAAAAATAAATTTGAATCAAGCAGAATAAGCCATTCTCTTAGCTATAAGGAAGTATCTCCAGTTGCATTACTGCTATGCTGGAAATGAATAATTGAGAATAATAAGGGCCACCTCCATTCTGCAAATAGATGCACAAATATTCAGCTCAGATGTAAAGAGGCTTAACAAGTTTCTGTCCCTGTCTCAACAGACTTTCCTAGATGGTACTACACCTAGCACACTGAAACAGTATGCATTCTACAGGTGCAGATCAAATTCTTTGTATCATAGCAACAGAATTAATCACATTTATCTAACCAACTTGATAGTCTATGCAGTGGGTAGAGAAATTTACTTGAGTTATGTACGCATTGCAACTATATTTTTACAATCCTTTTTGGAAAATTGCAGAAAAACCAAATATATCATAGAGAAATTGTTTCATGCTCAAACTCTTTTTTTTCAAAATGGATTTCTTTTTCTTCATACAGCTAAACTCTGGAGTCTCCAAAGAAAAAAACAAGAAAGTCCAGCTGCCTCCTGAAAAAGCACCTTCTAGACCAGAGGTCTCCCAACCTTGGCAACTTTAAGACCTGTGGACTTCAACTCCCAGAATTCCTCAGCTGTGGAATTCTGGAAATTGAAGTCCACAAGTCTTAAAATTGCCAAGGTTGGAGACCCCTGTTCTAGACAACCCTGATCTAGATGACTGAGAACCCCCATAAGACTTTAGCTATACACTTTGGGATAAACACCCTTCAAATGGTGTGGGAATATGAACGGATTTCCAGAAAAATTGCAAACTACAGGAACCATTTGCACTTCAGTTTGAAATGCATACAACATAGATTCATCCCCAACAGCCCGTGTTCAAAACATCCTGCAGCCAAGAAGGTGCCACACCCATTTTTACTACTCAGGTGATCCTGAGGACAAAGATAAACCTCCAAGTGGCCTCAACAACTCTCTAAAAGGAGGCAAATGACCAGCTGTGTGCAAGGAGTATAAATCCTTCCATTCCCCACCATCCAGCCAGAACTGAAGAAGCTTCTTGGATGAGAAGTGAAATGTCTTCAAAACAAAAAGAAAGTCCAGTTGCCTCCTGAAAAAGCACCTTTGGGATCTGGAGTTTCTTCTTTGATGTTTCTGGTCTTGGCTTCTGCAAAAACTTAAGTTTTATTTTATGCTACAACAGTAAAACTAGAAAATGAAGCAGAATATGCAATGCTATAATTTTTGTTTTCTGCATAAAAGGATAGGAAAATGATTAAAGTATTTAAGTTAGAAGAATATTATACAGCACTGCTGTATAGTATTCTACTTAACTGAAATACTCAAATCGGACTTGTCTTTGGAACCCAATCATTTATAAGGTAACTAGTATAAACAGTGAGAGCCAGTTTGGTGTAGTAGCAACCAAGAAACTGAGTTCTAATTATGCCTTAGGTATGAAACCAGCTGTGTTTCATACCTAAGCCAGTCACTCTGTCTCAGTTCTAGGAAGGAGGCAATGACAAACCTCTTCCAAAAACCTTGTCAAGTAAACTCCAGGGACTAATCCAGGCACTTGCTAGTAGTCAGTTTTGACTTGAAGGCACTTACATACAAACACACAGGCACAGACCAAAAAGTATAAATAATACATTTTAGATGCAACTATTGCTTTAAAAGATACAGAACTGTTGGAATTAGACACTTTACAGCTTGGAACAATCGTGGAATATTTTTAAAAACACTTTGAAGCACCAGTTGTAACATTCAAGTGCCAAATAGGAACGGAGAACCAATATTTGGATTTAAAAGAGTCATATGGTAGTACACACAGAGAAACTGCTTTGTGAACAGCAGCACTGGATTTTGAAAGCAAACACAGCACTCCAAAGCCAAAAGCAGACAGTTGGAAATACTGTTTCAAAATGTTACGTTCCAAGCAGGAGCAATTTATCAAAACTCTTCTTGAATGTTTCAAGAATTCCCAAGAAATTTCACAAAGGTACTTGCCAAATATTATGATACCTTTCTTCCCAACAAGTTTTAATGAGCGTAAGCTTTTAAATTTTAAAATAAATAATGAGAGTTACTGAAAGAAAAACATTCGGCAGTAGAAAACTTGGCTGAAAATTTGTATTTCAGAATAGAATATGAAACTCTTATTTACCCTTTAGGGTACGTCTAAAATAGACAGCAAGGTCTCATTTCCAGAATAGCTTAAAAAGCAGGTTTCAAAACTCATTAAAGAGCCAGGAGTGAGAGAGAAAGTAATTGTCTGTCAGTTTGTAGTGTGGTCTTTAAATTATCGTGAAATATCTTAACATAAATACACTTGGAGGCGGCAGCAGCCACGGGAGGAGGGATGGGCACCAAGATGGCAGCTACGACCATGTGGTCAAAATAAACGACGACCTTTTTACATGCATCACACATGGAGTCAACATGTCAACATTTTTCACACTTCTCCCACCCCATAAACACCTCTGCTTGAGGGGAGAATGAAATATTTGCGCTCCTTTGGTTCTTCTGAAAGAATACTGCATCAGTTCTTCCTTTCCTTACTGGCAAAAGAATAGATAGAATAGGAATAGAATTCTTTATTGGCCAAGTGTGATTGGACACACAAGGAATTTGTCTTGGTTCAAATGCTCTCAGTATACATTAAAAAAAAAGATACATTCATCAAGACTCATAACACTCAATGATAGTCATAGGGTACAATAAGCAATCAAATCATACTAGGAAACAGTCAATATAAATTGTAAAGGTACTAGTGACAAAGTTACAGTTGTACAGTCATAAGTGGGAGGGATGGGTGATAAGAAGTGATGAGTAATAGTAGTGCAGACTTGTAAATAGTTGGACAGTGTTGAGGGAATTATTTGCTTAACAGAGTGATGGCTTCAGGGAAAAACTGTTCTTGTGTCTAGTTGTTCTGGTGTGCAGTGCTTTATAGCGTGGTTTTGATGGAAGGAATTGAAACAAGTTTATGTCCAGAATGTGAGGGGTCTGTAAATATTTTCACAGCCCTCTTTTATAACCACTTGGCTATAGCCACTGCAGCAGACTGCAATGAAGGCTACACCACCAGACTTGTTCTTTCTGTCCCCATCTGGTGTCTACCACAATAGGCTATTATAAAAATGACTTAAAGCCATTTTTAAAAAGCACCGGCTTCTTTACTTGGTCTTTTTTAAAATCCCTTATCCTTTTTTCTTTTTGATTTTATCAATGAATCTACAGCAATGATTCTACAATTAATCTATTTTCAGCTGAAAATCTATTGAACTGAAATTAGTCAATTAATAGATAATCTTGGAAGTTTTAAATTCCTTAAAGTATTGGGCTTCACTTCTGTAAACTTATAATGGAACTGTTAATTATAACTTGGAATTATAAATATAACTTGGTTCCTAAGTATGTAGTCTAATAAATAATTACTTAAACAACACTGCCAGATTTCTGTTCAGAGATACTCAGAGACCATGGGACTAGAGTATCATACTAGATCACATTATATGCTACTAATTATATAAATGGAATCCATCAGATTTCCCTCATGGTAAGAAATTAGTTTTGCACTTAGGTAGGAAAAACCAGATGCATTGATATGGGAGAAAATCTGGGTAGCCTTGTAAATCCCCCATGAGCCAGCTGCCAAAAGAGCAAATGCAGTTTTGGGCTGAATCCACTGAGTACAATGTCAAGACAATGTACAAAGATTGGAAAATGTACAAAGATTGTAAGGGGTCTGAAGACTAAATTCTATCAAGAATGATTAAAGGAAATATCTTTAGCTTAAAGAAGAGAAAGATAAATCGTTTAGAGAGAGATTCAAACTCAAAATAGGAATAAGTATCCCAGAGTTGTGGATGATCTATCACTGGAAGTATTCAAGCAAAGACCGGAGAGCTATTTTTCTGGGATGGTATGAGGATTTCT